TCATTATTATTTTCACACACAATCCTTATTTCTATCTAACAAAAGGAAAAAAAAAAACATAAAATGCTACTAGAAATCGGTTCTTCATTTGTCACCCGTCTTGTGGACGTTCCCTTTGCCCGGAGGTTCCTTGTACCTCTCCTTGACGGATTCAACTTTGGAATCGTCCATGGTGGCCTCCTCGATGCCATCTTGCGCCTTCTCTACCGTCTGACTAGCAACCCCTTGTCGGCTCTTCTCTTCGGCAACTCTTTTGAACTCATCAGCTATCGATGGAGCTTTCTCCTCGGTGCCATGCCAATTGCTGAATCTCTAGCGTTTCCAATAATTCAGTCAACAATTTATAAACTTGTCAAAAGGAGGTTAAATAAGCATGTTTCACTTATGCATAGGATATAGAATCTTGATACGGTGGAAGACTCAATGACATATTCAAAAAATATAAGAACACATGTCAATACATAATGGAACACTTAAAAAAAACAACACCACCCAATCGGGTGCTGTCACCCCCACCCTCGTCAAAAAGCCCATGTTTAAGGAGCATTACTTACCCAAATAAATAATATTTGGCAGTTGTTTATAATCTAATTATTGTCAAACTACTTTATATTCACCATAAATTTTTGTGGGGTCCATAACTAATTTTTATTTATTTTATAATTTATTCCGAATATGAATAACTTCCAATCATGCTTGCATTTACATAATCCAAGAGGGCTAATCACAAGGTGAATTCGCTCGCCGGCACTAATCTTCAAAGAAAGTAACAAAAACTCAAACCCGAACCCGAACATGACAAATATCTATTAGGGTTAATTAATTTGGCTTACGATATATCAAAAACATTATAAGAAGAATCAAAAATAATCTAATAAACGGACTAATAAGAAGCATAAAATTGGATTATAATTCAAATAAAAAGTACTTTTAATCTAAAATAAAGATAATTATAAGTAATTAATTACCCTTACGGACATGGGCACATACGCAGTGAGACGTTTCATTGTTGATGCCTGTGAGGACAGAATATGGCTTCCCATGATTTTATTTTCAGTGCTAAAAGAGGAAAGAACAATTTTATGTTATATGAGTCAGAGGAAGACGAAGAATAAGAAGACTTGAAATGGATAAAAATCGGATATATACGTCAACTTGGGGGTGTCTGGACACGTGGCAGCCCCACAGAATTGCTGTCTTATCACATCCATGCATATATGCATTTTTTTTATTCATCAATTATGAATTTGTGGGGCCACCTTGGCCGGACGTTTATATGAAATATCTCTTTCCATCCTTATGAAGATAAAATATGAGTTGGGCTTGATAATTTATATTTTTAATATTTTTTGATTTTATTTTTCTTATTCAGTTGTTTTATTATTTATAAACTAGGGTTTAAGAATTACTTTAGTAGAGATGAGATGATATAGGTCCATTTATATTTGGACTTTGTATTGGTCTTTTTATATTAAATAAAATATTGAGATAAAGTTTTTATCCAATTTTCGGTATTCAACGAGTTTTGGAGTGTTAATTTTTAATTATCATATGTTGCTGTATCATATTACTATGAGAGCACAATCACGTTCTTTATAGAGATGTGTGTTGTTCGTGAAACCCAGATGGCGAAATTCATACAGCACTAGGAGTTGGCATAACTGCATATACGAGTGATGGCGTTGAAAAAAAGGGGTAAAAATGGAAAAAAATGCGTCAAGAAACAGATGTGTTGAGGCAAATGATTAACGATTTTCTATTATGATGGTTTGACGATTGTAAAGACGTAACGGATGATGAGTCTAAGGATTAGGACTCTGGCAGTGATGATAACATTTTTGCTTCAATTCAAAAAAGTGGATATATATTGATTTAGGAGAAGATTACGATGGTCCAATCATTTTTTTCATTGAGACAGAAGGGATTTTCATGATGACGTTTACGATGGCTCCCAATATTACATGAGAAACCAGATACAACGAGGTACAAAGAGTGATCCAAAAAATTCAAGGTAAGTTGCGAAATTATTGATGATGTTATAGTTACGATAATTATGGGTCAATTAATTATCGTGTTAATGTAAAAGCAAGTGAAATGAATGAGTTGGATTTTGATGAGATTGACATGATAGATGGTAACAAGCCATCTTCCATTAATTGCTTTCATTTTGAAAATTGATATGTTTTTGGACTGGTTAATAAGTTTAGGCTTGAAAGTCTCGGTGATATCTCTCGTATCTTCGATTTTTCAATTGGGTCGAAAAGTTCTTCAAGTAAACGACGATGGGAGATTGTCTTTATACTTATTAGAATCGGTATTCTATCAAAATTTAGCTATTGAACGTGCATCGGGTAATGTAGATTTTTTCCTTTATTTACAACAAAAAAGTGCAGGATTCACTTTATAAACTCGACTAATAATTAGAACAATCTCTGTTGATGATTAATATTAAGCATTACCAGAAATTTACACATATGTTTAAAGCATTTCCCATGTAGTAAATGGTGACCGAGGGAGTACCTGCAGTCACTAACCCAAGAATACTACCCCCTATGTCCAAGACTCAATGAATTGGCGGCTTTCACTAGTGTGACCAAACGGACAAGTTTAGTGCTTCGTTTCATAATTCATTTAAATTTTTGAAGAAAATTCATATATATCGGGAAAATTTAAGTCAAAAAATTGTTGAAATTTGGTTTAGAGAATAAAATTATGTATGTGAAAGTGGCTTTTGTGCCAACTTCGATCAAATATTCGGACTTGATCCGATAGTCAAATTATGAATATAAATAGACTAACTTGTTCTACTCGTAGAGGTAGATCGTCGTGTAAACTAACTTCATCCGGAATATAAATAGACTAACTTCTAAATTTTTTGATATTTTTCCTCCTTTTGGCTTGAATAATATATGTACAATGAATCCCTCAAACATTGGATGGGATATATGTATCTAATGAAATCCTATAAGCCTACTCTAATTTTTGGATTATGTTGTGTATTTATAGAATAAGATTGGGCAAAATTCTTGTTCAAATTGATTTTCACCAAAGAATTCAAATTGATTTCTACCAAAGAGTTTAAGAAATAAAATGAAATAAATTCTCTTTTCAATTGAACTCCTTTTTTATGTAACTTTATTCCTCCATCTTCTTTTATTTTGAAATTAAGGCATCTTCATCCCAAAATTATAATAGTTAACCCGATACAAGTTTCGAATTTTGTAATTTAGTCATCAAACTTTTCAAATGTCGAGTTTAACTCCCTAAACATTTGATTTTTTACCGAATACTCCATTAATACTTCCACTTGATCTCTTGCAATCCCGTTAATTTTCAATTGCTTCAAATCAACTCCAATTAAACTCCAAATAGCCTCTTTCACATAGATCGTATCCAAGTTGGGATTTTTCCTAACATTAACATAATTTATACAAATTAAGTAGATAATCGCTTAACTTATTTATAATTAAATAAGAATAGAAACCGCATAAAATGCACTTATCAATAATGCATGGTTTTATTGCCAAATGCCTTCCTTCTTTTCCTTATCACCTCATGCACCGTGCATTCTCTCACCAGGCATAGGCAGGTGATCGTTAATACAAACACTACCAGATCTCTGGCACGACGCCGCTTCCCTCTCCTCCTTAATTCACACACGCTAATTTTCGCTTTTAATGTTGATAAGAAGAGCTGGTATGGAAATAATCATATCATGGAAAGTGTTGTCTTGCATAATGTTTGTCTTGTTCTCTTATCCATGTAAAGGTCAAGATTACGACGACACTGTTCCGGAAGTACCGCCACCAGAACAAGAGCACTGCAATGACATCTTTGTGTCGTATAATTTTATGGGACGGGAAAAAGTTAATCCATTGGTGAAAAATGTATCGGCCCAGGCGTGGTCATTTAAAGCAATGGCTACAGTGCTTAATGCATGGTCTAAATGAGCTGAAATATTGGAAGATTTATATAGGTTTCTGGCATAACGAGCTACTTGTTTCTGCCGATGGGGGTGGTGGTGATTGATGGTGATGGATTTCCAGTTCGGATCGGGAAAAACGTGACTTCTCTTGTTGGGTATCCTCAATCGGATCTGAAAACTGCAATCGATGCTGCAAGAGATTATACTCAGATGAGTGCTCAGATAAACTTGAAAGGGACACTATTTCGGGTAAAGCTGTTGGTGACACCAATGCCTAAGACAATAAAGCTAGTGAACGACGATTATAAATGTTCCGCGCCTAAGAAGACCAGTACGTATTATTAATGAGAAAAGTGTTCGAAATGTTTGAGTTTTGATGCAACGGGAAACACGGGTCATTGGAAGAAGAGAGAATAACTTTTCCATAGCTGTTATATTTAACCTATATTTCTTTATATGTAATCCCTGAATTTCAGGAAAAAGGTCTGTTGTAAGCTACCCACTTATATATTTAAAATAGTGAACAAATCAGATAAAAGAAGCTACCGGTTCACAGCATTTCTTGTGCCCGTTTCTTCTTCCTTTTTTAATATGGTATCAGAGCCTGAGTCTTAAATCTCTATTCATCCTGATTCTCCATCCATTCCAAAACACACATTAACTCCCATCATGACTGATTCAGGTGATGAGACTATAAATCCAACTGACCCACTTAACTCCAAGGAAGATCCAGCTTCCAACCCACACTTTCTTCACCATGGAGAGGGTCCTGGACTGATATTGGTCTCACAGCCTCTCACCCCTCAAAACTATCATGCCTAGAGCAGAGTCATGTATGTGGCCCTGTCAGCCAAAAATAAGCTGGAGTTTGTGAATGGCACAGTTGAATAGCCAGCTAAAACAAGCTCCTAATACCCCCAATGGCAGAGATGCAACCATATGATTTTATCATGGATCACAAACAGCCTATCACCTGAAATAGCTGGATATGTGATGTACTCAGATTCTGCAACACAAGTGTGGGGAGAACTGAAGAAACAATTCGCTAAGTCAAGCAATAATCGTATCTTCTTGCTGGAGCAACAACTGACAACCACAAAACAAGAAAGTAACCCAGTTAGTGTTTACTTTTCCAAAATGAAACTAATATGGGAAGAGATCTCCATGTATGAGGATCCTTTTACATGCTCTGCCACTGATTGTGGTGCCATCAGCATCATCAACAAAAGGCAGTAGAAAAGACAGATAATGCAATTCTTGATGGGCCTGGATGAGATCTATACCAGATTGAGAAATCAAATCCTCCTTAAGGATCCACTACCATCGCTTGATGGCATATTCAACTTGTTACTGTAAGAGGAATCCAACTATGAGTTAACTGAAAGCACTGAAAAGGTCCCTGAGGCCTCAGCTATGCTTGTATATGGAAGAAAATATTATGGACCAAGGAGAGCAAGCAAACAACACGCTTGGAATAAATCCCCATGTAGCAAATGTGGGAGAACTAACCACACCATGGACACATGCTGGGAAATCCATGGATATCCTCCCAACCACAAGCTCCACAAACCGTCATCTAGTTCTAAGGATTACAAGGCTATAAATATGATGACCACTGAAGATAACTCAAGGAGTTCTTCGACTCTTGGCATTTATCAGGAGCAGATACAGGGCTTATTGCACTCCATCAAGGTCAGAATTTCAACACCATAAAATCTAACACAGAAATCTTGGGTGATCATCCTTCAAGCACCTCAGGTAATCTAAAAAGAACTTCATTAGTTTTCTCTAAACATTGTTTGAGCTGCACAAATGTTTCCAATGAACCACATACATGGATCTTAGATTCAGGAGCCACAGACCACATAGTTGGTTCTCTGAATTTATTGACGCATAAAAGAGCCATCAAAAGCACTTCAGTAAGACTGCCAAGTGGAACATCCATACCTGTTACTCACATAGGATCTGTTGTCATCTCACCTACTCTCACTTTTACAGATGTTCTCTATGTTCCACTCTTCAATTTTAATCTTATTTCTACAAGTAGATTAACCAAAAATCTAAAATGTCATTGTATTTTCCTTGCTGGTTATTGTTTCATACAGAAGCTGGTAACCAATGAGATGATTGGAGTTGCTAAGGAAATCCAAGGTCTCTACCATCTACAACTGGACCAGCCCCAAACCATTCATTTTGCTGCCCCAACCAACTCCATTTTGACAATAAGCTTTGGCATCTTAGAATGGGACACCCATCTGATCAAAGAATGAATTTGCTGCACAACACAGACTCTAGTATTCCTAGGTTTGATGCAAAAAAATTTTATGATGTCTACCATATAGGAAAACAGACCAGATTGCCATTTCCTTCTAGGCATCATTTTGTAGAAGCTGTTTTTTATTTAATACACCTTGATATTTGGGGCCCTTTCTCTGTTGCATCATTGAATGGAGCACACTACTTTCTCACAATTATTGATGATCACAACCGAACCACATGGGTTTATCTCATGACAAACAAAAGTCAAACTAGAAACATCATTGAAAGTTTTTTTAACTTCACTGAAAATCAGTTCAAATACAAAATAAAGGCTATAAGATCAGATCAGGGAAAGGAGTTTGATATGACAGAATTTTTTGCCAAAAAGGGAGTGCTCCACCAGCAAAGTTGTGTGTACACGCCACAACAAAATTCGGTTGTAGAAAGGAAACACTTACACTTGTTGAATGTAGCAAGGGCCTTACGTTTTCAAGCTTGCCTACCTTTAAAATTTTGGGAGAGTGCATTCTAACTGCTTCTTATCTCATAAATGGAACACCCTCACCAAATTTGAAAAATCAAAGTCCTTACCAAATTCTTTTGGGAAAACACCTGATTATTCTCATTTAAAAACATTAGGATGTTTATGTTATGCATCCAAGAGCCCGAAAAATGTGTGTTCGTTGGATATCCAAATGGTATCAAAGGTTATGAAAAAAGGTAAATCATAACTAGTCGAGATGTGATCTTTTATGAAGATACATTTCCTTTTTAGCAAAACAGCAATGTCTTCTCTGCTACCTACACCTGAAATCACTACCCTTGATAATTTTCCAGCCATACCAAATCCTATCTCAGAAAACTTTGATCAACCTTTACAAACGAATAACAATTCCAATTTTTTACAGGAAAGAACACTTGAAATTAAGAACCATAGTCATGAGGAATCCCCTACTTCAGAAAATATTGATTCATCTCCTCACCAAAATTTTGAACCACCTTGTCTCCAAGAACCCCGTAGATCCACTAGAATCAGAAACAGACCTGAATACCTCAAAGATTTTCACTGCATACGCCAACTTCCCTGGCAACTTTGAGCACTTTTCCTTCTCATGTAACAACTCCTGAAGGTAACAATTATTCTCTTGCTTTAGTTCTTAATTACTCTAAAATTTCACCTGTACATTTGAAATATATCATGTCCATTACCCTTAATCCAGAGCCTCAAACCTTTAAAGAAGCCCAGAAATTCTTACATTGGAGGAGTGCTATGAATGCTGAGATTCAGGCTCTTGAAGAAAATGAGACATGAGAACCGACCAACCTGCCTCCAGGGAAGAAACCAGTCGGTTGTAAATGGATCTACAAAACCAAATACAAAGAGGATGGGAGTATTGAACGAAGGGCTACACTCAACGAGAAGGAGATGATTACTTTGAAACCTTCTCCCATGTTGCCAAAATGCCAACTGTGAGATGTCTTATGTCTATTGCCGCATGCAAAAATTGGTCTCTCCATCATCTTGACGTTAATAATGCTTTCCTTTATGGAGAATTGGCTGAGGAAGTATACATGAATCTGCCTCCGGGATATGGTAGAGAAGGAGAAAGGCGAGTGTGCAAACTTAAGAGGTCTCTTTATGGGTTGAAACAACCCTTATGTCAATGGAATCAAAAACTCACATCTGTCATCACGAAGATTGGTTTTATGCAATCCAAGGCAGATTATTCACTCTTTACCAAGAAAACTAATTCTTCTTTTATTGTAATGCTTGTATACGTTGATGATATGGTGATTGCAGGAGATAACGAAAAGGAAATAGAGAAACTGAAGCAATATTTGGCGGATCATTTTAAATTGAAGGACCTTGGAAAGTTGAAATACATCCTAGGCATAGAAGTTGCCCAATCTAAGTAAGGGATGTTCATTAGCCAAAGGAAATACACGCTAAAAATTCTACGAGACTATGGACTTCTTGGTGCTAAATCTGTCCAATTCCCTATGGAAGGCTGTTTTATCTAACAATAACTAGGCCTAATATCTCAGTCTCAGTACAGGCCCTAAGTTAATATCTTAATCGACCAAGTGATGTGCATTGGAAGGCAGCATTGAGAGTTGTAAAATACTTGAAAACATCCCCATCACAAGGATTAATTTATCCAGCACAAGGTAAACTACAGCTGACTACTTTTTGTGATGCCGATTGGGGCACCTGTCCAGAAACTAGAAGTTCCATTACTGGATTCTGCATTTTCTTTGGAGATGGTTTGATGTCATGGAGATCGAAGAAACAAAGGACTGTGTCTAGGTCCTCTACTAAGGCAGAATATCGATCAATGGTTGCAATGACTTGCGAGTTGATATGGTTTAAAAGTCTATTGAATGATTTTGGCATATCTATTGAGAAGCCGATACAATTATTCTATGATAATCAAGTAGCAGTCCATATTGCTTCAAACCCAGTTTATCACGAGAGAACAAAACACATAGAGATTGACTGTCACATTGTGAGGGAGAAAATACAGACAGGTTTGATAAAAACGTTTCACTTCTTAACAAATTTGCAGGATGCAAACGTAATGATGAAGGCAATAGGTTCAAAGAAGTTCCACTATCTTTTAGGCAAGATGGGGATTTACTTAATTGCATCTCCGTCTTGAGGGGGAGTAATGAGAAAAGTGTTTGAAATGTTTGAATTTTGATGCAACAGGAAACACGGGTCATTGGAAGAAGAGAGAATAACTTTTTTCCATAGCTGTTATATTTAGCCTGTATTTCTTTATATGTAATCCTTGAATTTTAGGAAAAAGGTCTATTGTAAGCTACCCACTTGTATATTTAAAGTAGTGAACAAATCAGATAAAAGAAGCTTTTGGTTCACAGCATTTCTTGTGCCTGTTTCTTCTTCCTTTTTTGATAATTATTTCAGGTGCTTTGATCAATCTTCTTCATTATTGTAGAATAATAATAATGATTTGTTTAGTTTATTTGATGTCGACTATTACATAGCACCAAAGTCAAGATTGAGTTCATGCTTCCTTAATGACACTTTGATACTTAAGTTAGTAAAAATGTGCACTACATCCATGATCTTGGAGAGTAATACTTACTTTTCCAAAATCCATGTACAAGGATCATTGGCCATGCTCGGCTTTTACGATGTAATAGGGGTTTGTAAATATATTTTGAAATGTTTTCTAGCTTATTTATCCTTAAATTTTTGATTTTACAGAAAGCTATATGCATGTTAGTTGTAAAAGGGATCTGAAGTTCAAAGTGAAGAAAGTTAACGCTAAGTTGAGAGCAAGGATCTTGCACACGTCACTATCGATAAAAATCATCCACTTGTTCGTGTAACATTACTCGTCCCAAGCCTAAGCATGCCAAATTCTGTGTTTCATTCTCTGCTTATTATTCTGATTCGGCTATTCCTTGCAATACTTGTACGTGTGGCTATGATGAGGATGCACATTACGATAAAAATGTAGCTCCATTGATGCTTCCTCTCGATGCCTTTCTTCTCCCTTTTGACAATGGAATGGAGAAAGCAAACCCTTGGTACACAATTAAGAGCAAGAGTCATCTACCAGCAAAATTGCCATGTCCTGACAATTGTGGGTTGAGCATCAACTGGCACGTTAACTCAGACTATAAAATCGGATGGACAACACGGATCAAGCTCTTCAATTGGGATGAGTTTTCATTTTATGATTGGTTCGCTGCTATTCAGTTCCCGGGATATGAAAACGTCTACTCTTTCAATAACATAAAACTGCCTCAACCTAAGAACACCATTTTGATGCAAGAACTACTAGATCTAAATTACTTGGTTGGAGAAGTTAATGGGATAAATCATGTCATAGACCCTTGAGTTCTTGGAAAGCAGCAATCAGTGACTTCATTCTCGAAGAAAAATGTGAAACATATAAACGTAGCACAAGAGGATGGATTCCCTTCAAAAGTTTTATTCAATGGAGACAAATGTGTTCTTCAAAAATAGATACCTAAACGAAGTGGTGCATATCGATCACCAGTCAATCTGCAGCCAACATTCTTGCCTGTTGTTTTCACTTCTCTGCTATTGACAAATTGCTAAGCAAACTTTTGTCTGAAACTCAAAATTCTGATTCTCTAAATGGAGTCGGTGGTGAATTTCAGAAGATAAACAAGCAGAAGCAGTAGATGTGCCGAGGTTGAGACATACTTGTAAGATTATTGATTCAAAGAAAATGAAAAGAAAAACCAAAGAGTTGAACTTATCGGATTTGCACAATGCTTACCGATTTCTTCACTACTTACCAAATTTGGCACTAACTTATCGGTTTTCATAAATTGGTTGAATGCTCTGTTTTGAAGAGAAAAAATGAAGAGAAAAGAACTGCCATCATTAGCTTGGTTTCTTGCTAAATATATGCTTACAAAAACACTTGATTGTCAACACTTTCTACCTACTCCAACCTATCAAGTTGTCAACAAAAATATAAAACCATATTTAGATAACTTACAAAAGTTAAACTACCAACTATTTGTACTTAAATCTCATGACTTTAGATACAAATATCAGCAACCTTTTTTATGGCAAAAACGTGACTGTCAAAGTGACAAATCAACTTCAACATTCCTCCTTGTCACTTTTACTGGAAACACAAAGATTGTTTTTCAATGTTTCAAACTTTGCCTTTGCTTAAGACTTTGTTAATATGTCTGCAAGTTGATCATCAGATTTGCAATGTACCAGCTTTATTTCATTTTGTTCTTGAGCTTCTCTGATTGAATGGTATCTGATTTTGATGTGTTTGGTTCTACCATGGAAGATTGGATTTTTCACCATAGCAACTGTGGATTGAT